TTTTTAAAAATTCATCTCATATGCATAATAAAGGAAGTTACCAAAGGTTTCTATAAATGTTTTATAGGAAATAATCTGAGTTTTAAAAGAAAAATTCTTTCCAGAAATATTAAGGGGAATGTCAAATCAGAATTATTTATTCCCCTGGCTTTCTTTTTGAGGTAGTCCTTACAGGCAAAGAGTATGCTTGCAATTTGCCAAAAATGGATAATTGTGTTATTTCAAGTTAATGGAAATAGAACAACCCGAGGCGGGGTTATGTTATTTAAATGACTATTGATGATCTTAAATTATTTTTAATAAAAACATAGGGTGTTATCCCTGTTAACACAAGAAATTACTTAATCGTTAATTCCTTCCATCTGCAAGGGAGCTGAAAAAGTCGACCGCACTTACAAAAGAGGTGTTTCATTTATTTAAAAGGCTGCAGTTTGTGTGTGTGTGTGTTTTATTTTATTTTGTAGGGTAGTTATTAAACCTAATCATTTAAAATTCTGTTGAATGCTAGCTGGACAAATTGCACAGGACGACTAAAGAGTGGGATATGGAAATCCTATTTACCGGTAGGAAAGACATCCAAAATGAGGAGGATTTGCAAAATAGGTGCAAAGGCGGTCCAAACAATGTTTATTGGAAGTCCTCATGTGAACAGCGAATTTTCATCGGACACAGAGGCAATCTGTGTTTTTCTGTTTAATCCTCAGTCAAGGGTATTTTATTGATTTGAAGGGGGCGGGGGAGAGGGAGGTAGAGAGAGAAACATCGATCGGTCGACTCCTGTACACCCCTAGGGGAGGTGGAACTGGAAACCTCTGTGGTGTATAAGACAACACTCCAAACCACTGAGCCGCCCAGCCAGGGCCAAAGACAGCCTCTCTATCTCATGACGTTTGATACTCATTTTAGGTTATAACCGAGGATTGCCATGATTCAGAAAAGCTTCCTTCAAATCATCACACACACACACACACACACACACACACACACACATCTTAAAAGCAAAGTTTTCTTTTACATTCGAGTTTTAAACTTTTATATAAAGGAAGTTTCAAAGATACAGTTGAGTTTCAAAGTTCAGCAGATTTCACTCTTAAAAATTGTATTATTATTTTTTTAAATATATATTTTAAATATATTTTATTGATTTCGGAGAGGAAGGGAGAGAGAGAGAAAGAGAGAGAGAGAGAGAGAGAGAGAGAGAGAGAGAGAGAGAGAGAGAGAGAGAGAGAAACATCAATGATGAGAGAGAATCATGGATCGGCTGCCTCCTGCACGCCCCCTCCTGGGGATCGAGCCTGCAAACCCAGACATATGCCCCAAACAGGAATCCACCTGTGACCTCCTGGTTCATAGGTCAATACTCAATCATTGAGCCACGGTGGCTGGGCAAAAAAAAAAAAAAAAAAAGTCTTCATTTTAAAATCTTAGTTTTTAAAACGGTGATATATTCTAGTCTCTCTACTTTCCCACAGATTTGGGCATTTTAATAAAAACATTGAAAATTAAGTAATACAGCCTCTGGCCTCCTTCCCTTGTGTCTCCTCTCCAGAAACCACCCGGTTGGATCCCCACACGTCAATCCTGCAAAGCTGGACCCCACCCCACTGCCGGTGACTTAGGTGAGGGGCCAGAGGGAGCACCTTCTCCCGCTGGGAACAGGGCCACAGCCCGAGGCTCAGCTACTTGCGTGAGCACCTCCCGCCAGCATCGCACAGTCCAGACGCATAACCGTGACCTCACTGAGCCCCGCTTCTCACCGCAGGTACGTGCATGGCGCCCTATGCCTGGCGGGCTGGGACAGAGGCTTACAGGGTGTTGCTCTGTGTTTATATGGGGGAACATGGTCCTACAGCGCCTGGACCCATGAAGGCAACCTCGCTGAAGCTGGGGCCCTGGAGGTCCCAGCGCCAAGCCAGGTCCATGGGCCCTGGGCGGAGCTTTGTGGAATGATGTCAATCACATGGTGGAATGAGTCCATGTAGAAGGAGCTGTCAATCAAGTGGTGGAATGAGTCCATGTAGAGGGAGATGTCAATCAAGTGGTGGAATGAGTCCATGTAGAGTGAGCTGTCAATCAAGTGGTGGAATGAGTCCATGTAGAAGGAGCTGTCAATCAAATGGTGGAATGAGTCCATGTAGAGGGAGCTGTCAATCACATGGTGGAATGAGTCTATGTAGAGGGAGCTGTCAATCAAGTAATGGAATGAGTCCATGTAGAGTGAGCTGTCAATCACATGGTGCAATGAGTCCATGTAGAAGGAGATGTCAATCAAGTGGTGGAATGAGTCCATGTAGAGGGAGCTGTCAATCAAGAGTGGAAGGTGGCCTGTTTCTGTAGTTCCCACTGAGGGGGACATGGATGTCGCAGGTTGTGTTTAGGATCCTGGGGCTTTGCAGGGCTCGTGGTTGGTGGTGGGTATGGGGGTACCAGTCGGGTGCTGGTCATGCAGGGGTGTTCAGTTTGCTGTATGCTGATGGTTTACCACAAGTGGTGTCCTCTGATAGAAGCATTAGGAGTTGCATAGCCCAGCTGGCGTGGCTCAGGGGTTGAGTACTGACCTATGAACCAGGAGGTCACGGTGCGATTCCCGGTCAAGGCACATGCTCGGGTTGTGATCTCGATCCCCAGTAGAGGGTGTGCAGGAGGCAGCCGATCCATGATTCTTTCTCCTCATTGATGTCTCTCTCTCTCTCTCTCCCTTCCTCTCTGAGATCAATAAAAAAATATTTAAAGAAAAAAATTTTAGACACACACACACACTCACAAATGTCTAACAGTTGTTACTTCTCAGATGGTTAGGTTTTGAGTACTTTTTTCTCCCCCTTTGTACTTTACTGCATTGTTCAAATATTTAATCGTGAGCAGGGATCGTTTTACAAAAATAATAGATTAAAAAAAAAAAAAAAAAGGAAGCCTGGCCTTGACTAAGTTGGCTCGGTGGATAGAGTGTCGACCTGCAGACTGAAAGGTCCCAGGTTTGATTCCGGTCAAGGGCATGTACCTTGGTTTCGGGTACATCCCCAGTGGGGGTGTGCAGGAGGCAGCTGATGTTTCACTCATCGATGTTTCTAACTCTATCTCTCTCCCTTCCTCTCTGTAAAAAATCAATAAAATATATATATATATATTTTTTAAAAAGAAACCTACATAGACTTTCCAAAGTGAAGAAACAAAGAATAAAAAAATAGAGAATAATAAAAATAAAAATACATTGCAATTATTTAGATATAACATTGTGAAAGTACATGCCAACGAATTAAGTTTTCCTGTATTAAAATTTTTTCAGGTTTTTTTTTTTAAAAAGAAAAACATACAAGTATATTTTACTTAAAAATACAGGAATATTCTGCAAGATGCAGAAAGAGTGAAAAGAATTGGTTGAAAATAACAAGCAAACATATATCAAAGCAGAATGCAATACAAAAGGGTGAAACAATCAAAGTTAGTTTATTATGTGACAGTAAAAGGCAAAAGAATTAGTAAAAAACGAAAATGGTTAAATTTATAGGCACTAAAACACATTCGAATTTTAAGATAAAATTGTAAGAAGCAAAGTTACAGCAGAAATCCTATTCCACCATAACAAGTCAATGATGTGGGGGGGGAGGAAGAGGGGAATAAGAATTTACAAAATGACAACGAATAAAGTTAAATGAGCAATTTTAAGGTGCAAAGTTGGAGGGAAAACACGAAATATGGAAAACGTTTACAGAAAAACATTAACAAGACATTCCAATGAAGAAAAAAGATACCAAAAACTATATAGGCACTACATTGTATAATATCACTGCAAAAAGTTAATATTTCACTTAAAAATGCAAAAATAACTAAATATCAATGAAACAAATGCATGGTCAGAGAAGAAACTTGAAGTACAATAACAAATTGTTTTAAAATGTGCGAGTCAAAGGTAGTACCCATCAAATCCCTGAACTTGAGGGAAAAAATGGGTTTAGTGCTGACTGGTGTGGCTCAGTGGTTGGGTGTTTCCCCATGCACTGAAAGATTGCTGGTTCGATTCCCTGTCAGGGCACATGCCTGGGTTGTGGGCTTGATCCCTAGTAGGGGTGTGCAGGAGACAGCCGATCCATGTTTTACTCTCCCATAGATGTTTCTCTCTCACTCCCTCTCTTTCCTCTCTCTCAAAAAGCAGTCAAAATATTTTTTTTTAACTTAAAAAAGGGGGGGAAAATGTGTCCAGAGAAAACTTACTGCTTTAAATGACTTTATTAAGAAGAAAGCAAAATTCTGACAACTAGAACTATACTTCTAAAAAGAAGAAGAAGAAGAAGAAGAAGAAGAAGAAGAAGAAGAAGCAGCAGCAGCAGCAGCAGCAGCAAGCAAAATCCTTCAGGAAAATAAAATTCATGCAGAACGAAACAATTAGGACAAGAAATAGTTTCTGAAATACTAAGCAGAGATCTCTTCCTTACAAAAGACTGAAAATAAAATGAAATCCACTAGCAAATTCAATTAAAAAAAATTTTTTTTAGAAACCAGTGAAAATGTAAACATCAAGAAAAAGAGACTAAAAATCATTAGGGACTGTGTTGCCCATTTACAATGGTGATGCATTTGGATATCCAAGTAAAATAAATGATTTTACCAAAGAATTCTAAATGAATCCGTGAGAGCCTGAGCAAGGGAATAGACCAAGAGCTAACGGAAGGAGCTAGAGTTAACCACGTGGCTGCCTTTTCCTGCTACAGAGTCACAAACGAGTTAACTGGAAATTTGAACTAACGCCTGAATTATAACCCATAAAATATTTATTTGGACTATTTCCGTTTATTCTAGCAGGCAAACACGGATTCTGTTCTTTTTAAAATATTTATTTATTTTTATTGACTTCAGAGAGGGAGCGAGCGAGCGAGAGAAACATCCAGGATGAGAGAGAATCATGGATTAGTTGCCTCCTGCACGCCCCCTACTGGGGATGGAGCCCCCAACCCAGGCATGTGCCCTGACAGGAATTGAACCATGACCCTCCTGGTTCCTAGCTCGATGCTTAACCACTGAGCCACACTGGCCAGGCTGATTCTGTTCTTGAAGCTGATAGCTCGGAAGGAAATCTCTCTCTAGATGAAGCTGCATATAAATGTGAAAATTTCTGTAAGTAGAATATGACACTATTTTTTAAAGTATTTTTACCACGAAAGTTATCTGCCGGGTTTATAATAGGCTTAATCATAGCAATCTGTCCAGGTTAATGTAAATAAAGTTATGAATAAAACCCCCAATGTAAATAATTTTAGGAACAAAGTTTATATGGCCTTAATAAAAGGCTAAAATATTTGATAAAGTTTAATGGTCTTTTCTCCTAAAAAATATTTTAAAACAGAAATAGAAAAATATTTTTGAACACAATAAAACCTACCAGTCTTTAATCAGTAACTTTTGAAGCATTCTGTTGAAAACCAAATAAAACAAAAAAAAATTTTTTTTTTTTTGGTTAAATTTTTAAGCCCATTTTTGGAGGTTCTTATTATCCTAACAATGCGTCCAAAAGGCACCAAACATCACCATTGTAAAAATTATTAAAAATTGTTATTTTAAGCTGCACCAAAAGAAACTAAGAATTCCAATGAAAAAATATTAGAAATAAGAAGAGAGCTTTTGAAAGTGTCCAGTAAAGGCGAAATCCATGAAACGCAGAAGTTTTTTTTCTGGTAAAAACCAGCACGCAACTGGAAATTGGTTTGAGGCAATCCCATTCACAATACTTGAAAAAAATATATATAATATTCCAGAATGACACTAATTCGGGTTGTGCGAAAACTCATAAAGGCTAAACTTTAAGAAGAGATGTAAAGAAAAACAACCAAATCAAGTAATGGGGGGGGAAAAGAATATATTTTCTCACATGTTAAGTTTTAGATCTGATTTGATTTCAATTAAACCTCTAAAAATATCGATACTTACAAAAATCTGGGGGAAAAATATATCCCAGGGTTAGGTCTCAAAAATAATTATGCCTGAACGGTAAATACTATTTTAAAGATGTTTTCTCTTGATGAAAGATCAAAATCAAATGAAAACAAAATATATGGTTATGGAAAAAACTTTGAATATACAGCTTAGTGACAATCAGAAAGTGAAAACAGTTATGGTCTTGGTTAAAAAACAGAAACAGATTTAAACACGATAGAGTGTGGAGGAGTAGACGGTAATATATAAGAATTTGGAGAATGATAAATTCAAAGCATGTGGAGAGGGAATGATTATTTAATGAAGGCATTAGAAATCAAAATAAAGAAAAAAATTAACTTTAGACCCTGACCTTAAACCTACAATAAACAGTGAGCAGATTCAATGGTAAAGTAATGAGAATAATCATTATGATAGGGACATGAGGAGAACACAGAATAGTGCAATTTATGAAAATAGCTTTGGTTAGTCAAGCCATGGGAAAAGTGGATGGACAGAATTTCATTTTTAAAAATAGCATAAGATTAAAAAAAAAATCCTATAAGTTGGAAAAATAAGATAGAGGATAGGTAAATGCTTATTCCCTATAATAGACTACCAATGCATATATGTTCATTAGGACAGAACCAAATGCCAGTGTTCAGGAGACAAACGTGAAAAGAAAAGAAATCGTTTATTTTTTAAAATATATTTTATTGATTTTTTTTACAGAGAGGAAGAGAGAGGAATAGAGAGTTAGAAACATCGATGAGCGAGAATCATCGATCAGCTGCCTTTTGCACACCCCCGACTGGGGATGTGCCCGCAAGCAAGGTCCATGCCCTTGACCGGATCGAACCCAGGACTCTTCAGTACGCAGGCTGACGCTCTATCCACTGAGCCACACCGGTTTCAGCTGAAAAGGAATCGTTTAAACAGCACACAGCCCTTGTAGGAAACACAACATCCGACGAACTCACCGCTACATCCTTCAACTTTAATTCAGTCAGCGTGTCATCTCACACCCATTCAGTTCACGTAAAGGAAAGCAAACGACAAGCCCCATGGCCGGCTGGTGGGGAGACACGGGGCCCTGGTCTGTTGGTGGCCATAAAAATTGGTTCGTTTCTTCTGAAGAGGACCTGGACCGTGCATATCCCACACAAACAAAAGAACTTCCACTCGGAAAAAAAAAAATCTGCCTTTCAGAGTTTATTCTGATGAAATCAATTTAAAAAAAAAAGTATAGACAGCCCTAGCCAGTGTGGCTAAGTGAATAGAGCATCTGCCTGAGGATGGAAGGGTCCCAGGACACATGTCCAGGTTGTGGGCTCCATCCCCAATAGGGGGCATGCAGGAGGTGGCCAATCAATGATTCTCTCCCATCATTGATGCTTCTCTTTCTCCCGCTCCCTTCTCTGAAATCAATATATATATATATATTAGAGGTCCGGTGCATGAATTCGTGCATGGGTGGGGTCCAGCCAGCCTGGCCAGGGAAAGGGGACATGGGCAGTTGGCCAGCCTGCCGGCTGGTCGAACTCCTGGTCGAGGGGACAATTTGCATATTAGCCTGTTATTATATAGGATATGCACTGAGTGGCCAGGTTATTATGTGTTTAGAGATCATCATAATCTGCCTACTCAGTGTATATTTTATTTATTTATTTTTTAAACTATATTTTATTGATTTTTTACAGAGAGGAAGAGAGAGGGATAGAGAGTTAGAAATATCGATGAGAGAGAATCATCGATCAGCTGCCTTCTGCACACCCCCTACCGGGGATGTGCCCTAACCAATGTACATGCCCTTGACCGGAATCGAACCCGGGACCTTTCAGTCCCCAAGCCGATGCTCTATCCATTGAGCCAAACCAGTCTCGGTTCAGTGTATATTTTAAAAAGAAGAGAACTTAGAGTACAATGAGGGGGGGAAAAATAGCCTCATATTAAAAAAAAAAAAAAAAAAGATCAGAGTGTCACTTTTTGAAATTTATTCTGAAATTCAATTTTGTTTATTTTTCAGGAGGTTTTTCTTGGATAACTTGTCGGAAAGGCATGATTGATGGCTTGTGACTTGACTGTTTTAAAAATGAGGATCCTGGAATTTAATAAAGTGTATTGTTTTCTCATGGGCTTAAGACATCGAGACAGAAGATCCCATTCAAATGTGACGTTTAACCTTTTTCATTTTCCCCATAAAAATCTCATCTTAGTAAGCTGGCAAAAGAAATAAATTCAGCTAACAATTTTTCAAGACAGGGGCTAGCTTTTTGTCTGCTTTGAAAACTCTTGCACACACAGAGATGTCTCCATACATAGGAGAATGGATAAAGCATGGATAGGAAAATCAGAAACTGGATGGACATCTGAGTTTCAAACCTTTCCAGTTGGACAGCTTAATTGTATAATCTAAAGCCACAGCCTGGCCACCGAGGCTCAGTGATTGAGTGTCAACCTATGAGCAAGGAGGTCACGGTTCAATTCCCGGTCAGGGCGCATGCTGGGGGTGAGGGCTCAGTCCCCAGGAGGGGGCGAGCAGGAAGCAGTCTATCTATGATTCTCTCTCATCATTGATGTTTCTCTCTCTCTCTCTCCCTCTCTCTCTCTCTCTCTCTCTCTCTCTCTCTCTCTCTCTCTCTCTCTCTCTCTCTTTCTCTCTCTCCCTCCCTCCCTCCCTCTCCCTCCCTCTCTGAAATCAATAAAGATATTTTAAAAAATAAAACAAAACCACAGATACCTAGGATCTATTCCATAAACCATATGTGTGTTTTATAGTTGAGCAGAAACATAAAAAAAAAAAAATAGACTCATCGAGAGAGTGAGGACTTTGAGAGGTAGAACATCAAAGTAGAAATTGAGGAAGACGATCAATGATTCTCTCTCATCCCTTAGGTTTCTGTATCTCTTTCTCCCTCTCTCCTTCCTCTCTGAAACCAATAAAAATATATATATTTTTTGTAATATATATATATAAAAAATATATATATTTATATATATATATATATATATATATATATATATATATATATATATATTAAAAAGTAGAAATTGAACAGGCAAAGGATTCCTATTTAGAATGCCTAAAGAATTCATCTAAATCAATAAGGAAGAGACCAAAGCATCCGTCTTAAAAATGGATGAGGCATTCAACTGGTAATAGCCAGAAGAGGAAGCTGGGATGGCCAGTAAGTACAGGAAGAGTCTCTCAGTTCCTTGAGCTGAGGGGGGAAATGCAACTGAAAACAGCCCTGAGGAGGCATTTTAGACGCGTGAAATTCGTGGAACTAAGGTCTAACAGCATCGGGAACGAGCACAGAGGCAGAAAGCAAAGTCTGTCCTCTCCTGGTAGGAGAGTGAATGAGGGAAGCCAGGGTGACGAGTCATTTGGGAAAATCTAGGGTAATTGAAGAGGTACCTTCCCCGTACATCCTTCAGAGGAACACTTACACACATGCTTCAGGAGAGAGGAAGGAACAGTTAGAATCATCAGTGATGGGAATCATGGACCGGCTGCCTCTCACGCGCCCCCTGCTGGGGATGGAGCCACAGTGCAACCCGGGCATGTGCCGTGACCGGAAATCGAACCGTGACCTCCTGGTTCCTAGGTTGATGCTCAACCCCTGAGCCTACCTTTGCCCACCCCTGCAGGGCCTTGGTATTTAATAGCATTTTCTATGATTGCATGGCTTTCATACAGGGGGAAATGCTTCCAATTTCTTGTTTTTCTCCATCTGTACTCCTCCCACCAGCGGGTCATTGGCTGATGGAAATCCCGGTGGCCCTCAAAGCCACCACCCCTGTCACTGTTGGCTCTGAAAGTTGACATTCCTGTCCATTTTCAGCTCAGATCTCCCTCCATTCATGGCTAAGGCTTTCGCTTCAAATCAGTAACATGGCCCTAACCGGCGTGGCTCAGTGGATAAAGCGTCGACCTGCGGACTGAAGGGTCCCGGGTTCGATTCCAGTCAAGGGCACATACCTTGGTTATGGGCACATCCCCAGTAGGAGGTGTGCAGGAGGATGTTTCTCTCTCATGGATGTTTCAATCTCTCTATCCCTCTCTCTTCCTCTCTGTAAAAAAATCCATAAAACACATATTTTTAAAAAACCAATAGCGCCAAAACCTAT